AAAACTTTGGTGTTTATGTGATGAAGGTGGAAGGTGGGCGGATAGATCACGCCCTTCACCAGACGAACGCCAAGAGGGCCATTTACGAGACCCTGGCGTTGGACAGGGCCGTGGCTGCGGCACTCAAGCGCGTCAACATCAAGGAGACGCTTCTGCTCGTCACTGCGGACCATTCGCACGTCATGACCATCAACGGGTACCCGAAACGAGGCAACCCTATATTAGGTAAGCGGTTTATTTATTTTTTCGGATCCCGTATTATTATTGCGCAATCGGAAGTATACTGTGATGATGACTGCTGGTCAGATCCGTAATCGAAATGAGGGATTATTATGGAGTATGGATCAGAAAAAAAATGTGTGCGGACGCATTTCTCCTTCGGTCGGAAAAGAAATTAGAACCCTGCGATTTTTTTTCTCCCGTTTTCTTCATGCAATTTTTGGGTTGGTTACTTTTCGCGAATAATCTTCTGGCGGGAATAAAATTCCAACTAAACGATTTTTTTCCTTTCTCGTGGTGCAATTTCCAGTTGGTTATTTCCGGAAACAAAGAAAAGAATAATGAAAAATCGAAGTTATTGTCAATACACACAGGATCTTGTTGAAACGAATCACGGGAGGCGTTTTCTATAGGTCCCTTTCCAATAGTCATCATGTAAAATTATGTTACTTCCCACCGAATTTTCCGTTGCAACGAAGCTATTTTCTTGATACCAATAGTTGTGTCGTTGTAACGAAATTATACTGAGGTGATGCGATTTTTTCTGCAAAAACGCAATTTTTTTATGAAATGTACTTATTATAGGGATGAAGCAGCGGCACTATTTTGTCATATTCCTTATCGTATAGGTGGAATCCCTATTTTTTGCGCTTACGAGTATTTTAAGATATCTGATTAAAATTATCTCAATCTTGATCCATCGAGAAACCAAACGGAGTATATATGAATTTTGAACTTCCGTATCTTATATATTTTTTACATGCTGTATTGAGAAATTGTCGAATCCGAGTCCTGAGACCTGACGTCCCTGCTGGGCCCAAGTTCTGGTTCCCCAACAATTCCCTCCAGGATTTCGAACTTTATTGCTTTACAGCTAAGTAAAGGTACACGGGGACAAAATGAACAAGGCTCTTATTGCCTCAAAGAAGATTGCAGGGATATTAAGCCCGTAAATACCTTAAATCCTCGGACGGGAACAAAAACCATTTAAAAGGTCACAAAGCCTCATGTCAACAACCCTGAGATGGGCATCTTGAGAAAGAACTTTATTTTATTTTATGGATTCAAATAGGAGAATTTGCGAGTTGATAGCTCGACAGGATGAAATTTAGTAGCTCTTTCCCGGAAAGCATGAAAGAATTTTATCCCGATGACCCAAATTCATGACAGGAAGACCGAAGGTTATCTCCAGGCAATCAATCATCAACAAGCTATTTTCTTCCAATTTGTCAAGATTGGCCATGAGTTTAAGCTCATCCTTTCAACACACAAAATCTGTTCTTGCCCGTTTGAAGAAAAAAACGAACGTCGCAACAATTATTTACATACAGTATCTTAATGTCAAACTCAAGAGGAAGAACAATTTTTATGATGTTCGTCGAGAAATTAAGACGTAATACTCTACCATTAAAAAACCCGAAGGATATTTATTTACGTGACTCATATAAATCGCCTGCAAAAAATCGCACAATTGGACCAGAAAATTCAGAATTTGCGAACTGTTTTACCCCGTGTATACAATACATTAGAAAAGCATCTTCTCTCTGACTACACAAATTTCATATGGACACATTCTGCCTTCATTATAACTGTCTAACAAACTTGAGAAGAAAAACCTGGGAAGAAAGTTACCAGAGATTTTTTGCATTTGCACTATAAATCTTCGTGTTTTTCTGATTTCCCTTTTCCTTCGACTAAAATTGAACAAGTTTCTTTATTATTTTTATATGTCGAAGTGATATTCCAGGGTTCTTCGATATTTATTTTCATAATATTCTGCAGTTCTTGAAAGAATGATGAAGTTGAAAAAAAAACGCTTCCATATCTGACGACCTTCACTTCACGTGCTTCAATTCCGCACACCTTTGTCAAAAAAGTATTGTATACGATTTCATAACTTTTTTCGGGAAGTTTTGTTTAACGCGATTGCTCGCATTATTCAGGAAATTATTATTGCTTAGAAATCTGTCAAAAATGTTCGATCTTCATGCTTCAATTTATAAAAATTAGCAATCATTGATCGAATTCACCCGTATAGGCCAAATCATGAGGCGGATATAATTCTTCGAAACTTCCGTGTGCAAAAATATGCACATTTCCCGCTAATGGATATCGGCGAAGTGCATTTTCTAGAAGCTTCTTTCGTAAGTCCTTCCAAGGGGATTCAATGCTCTTGCTGGAATCCTCGTAACATCCTGATTCGTAAGGAAAGTAATGCTTTCCAGATGCATCGTGTTGAACTTTGCAGTTTCTAAGTAGGCCATGTTCATTTTTTAGAGTCCCGCACTACTTGTGTGTCTGATACTGGGCCGGAAGCTTATTATTCGCCCACTATTTCGATAGAAATCCCCAGAAAAGATACTTTTCTCTTATAGTTGCCTTATGATCAAAGGGGGTTTTTTCCGTGGCAACCTTTGTGTTAATCAACGACGCACAAGTTTCGTTTGAAAAGGAGACTTTGCGAAAAGCTGTGAGCTCGTTAAGAAGGAAAATGCAATTAGAGCATTGGAGCATCAACGCCTCACTTCTATAGAATTCTCCGCGTGAACCAGATAAGTTTGCTCTGCGATTTTTCTGTCCTCACGTGGCTTCACGATTTTAGATCGATGTGCCGGTTATACAAAATATATACTCTAAATCGAAAAACACGTGATGATTGTATACATAATCATGCAAGAGGCGAAACAATCATCGTCATGTGGCGTGTTCGTTTTTGCGAACGAGATCAAGGAGTCAATAAGCAATCAGAGTTCGTCCATGAAGGGAAAGGAAAAACTGCTTTTGCATGCTCGAGATTTGCTAATTTTGTTCTGCATGCGTGTTGCAATAGCGAATTTCCGTGGATGATTCCTTCTTTTATGCATGAGAAAAAGAAATTGTGGAGGGAATTGGGCCAGAGACGTCAAATGTGAGTCTTCAATACTTGGCTTCTCTGACACGTGAGCGAGATGAGAAACTTTTGGCCGCGTTCACTTTTATCTTCATTGAATTTTTATTATGAATATTTGTTGATCTTTAGGTACGTTAAAATATATGGTAAATACGGTGGCTTTCAGAAAATAATGATCAATCCAAAAGAACTGACGCAACGCTAAAGTAAAATTTAGAATTTTCTGTATTTTACAACTTCACAGATAAGGTAGCAAACGAGTTCCGCAAATCGACAAACTTTTTTTCATCCCAGATTATGCATGACATATTCATTTTCGTTGCAGAAACTTGATAGTGGACTTCTGAAACAGTAATAAAATGTCTATCCGCCAAATAATTAGATGACTATATTTATTAAATTACGACAGATGAAATCATTACATAGATTTACCAGTGTCCTCATGGTCGTCTTGAGGCCATGGGGATCAATCAAATCAGATACTCTCGGAAGCGTAATAATTTAATGGAAATCATCCAGGTCCCATATAAAGCGAGTTGAGGAAAGATTTTACTAGATTTTGCTGGAACATTCACCTCTGATTTTTTCCACGAAGCACATTGTGCCAAAAGGGTCAACTGAAAAAAAGGATCATGAGCGTGAGCCAGATAACTCAGATTATTTTTAATGATGAAGATAAATTCACATAAAACTGTTCAACACGCTCATAATTTCGTGAAAACAGCAATTTACGCGCGGGATTACTTCCAAAAATATTGTACCCAATCATTTATTTTCATCTCATTAATTACCCGGTATTTAATCTTCGACCCCATTCCAATTTTACTTGCAGATTTACAGCCTTTGAGCTTGAGAGGTTTTAAAGCATCGTTTTTTCAGGGAATTTCCAAAAAATTGACTCGGGGGGGGGGGCATTTTATTAGCCTGAATAATAGTCCTTTTCTGGCTAAGAATGATCTTGTGTTTCTTACTCAAGTGCGACCAGCATGTCAGAATTGTATTCCAAACACCGCCTTGTGATGGAATGAGGACGCAGAAGACGTCACACTTCCTCTGACAGCATATGGACAGATTATTTGAAATTGAGGACACAAAACCACCTGTTTTATAAAATCCTGCTGCTTGTGATTCAAAGTAGGGCAACTCCTGAGTGCTTCGTATTCTGAACGCAGTTTTCGTTTCGATTCCCTCAGGCATCGCGGAGAACTCTACGGATTACGCTCGTCTTCCGTACACAACCCTGATGTTCACGAATGGACCTGGATTCAGTTACAGGGCTGTCAATGATTCAAGCAAAGTGCATTGGAGAAACGTTACGGAGGTTGATACCAAGTCTTCAAAGTACCAGCAACTTGCAGGCGTCAGTCGCAGTACGGAAACGCACGGAGGCGAAGATGTTCACGTATACGGAATAGGTAAATGATTTTCAATTCAATAACTGATTACATAAACAGGCCACGTTTTCAAGGTTATAATCTGTGAATACGAGTAAAATCGTGTAATAACGAAATTTTGGGGACTTTTTAGAATATAAAAATGCATATGCAAATTTTTGGAGGAAAAATGGGTAATCCTTGTAAAAATAGCTCTTACCATATTTTCTCTGAATCCATACAGTTATTCAAAATAATTTATGTCTTTGTAGAATGAAAAATCGTTATTAAGGTATATGTGGTGAATTAGAGCAAATGTTCTGCTCTCTAAGCCATACTTATGCATATATAACTGGAAATTGTGGGGACATTTTAGAATGAAAAACACATATGCAAAAAACTGGCGGAATAATTAGTGTGGCAGTTGTACTTGAATAATAGGAATGGTTTGTAATCCACTACCCATATATTATCAAGTGCAAAAATACCACTTAACATATTTTCTCCAAGTCCATACATTTATTCAAGAATAACTCTTATCTTTGTGGAATTAAAAAGCAATATTAAGGTATATGGTCAATTTGAACAAGTTTTCTGCACTTTAAGCCATACTTATGCATAACTGGATTTTGAATTGATTTTTGCAGATAATTTCTGCCGTCGACGTAGACTCTATATGGTCTTGTAGACTTGAATAAAAATGCTTAAACGTAAACTGAAAAAAGAAATCAGGGTTTTTTCGCATCTTGAGATGCAGTTGCATAACTTCTTGACTTACGTCAGAACGATGATAACTTCAAGATTCACATCTTTGGTCGCCTGATTAAAAAAGTTGTTATACGAAAGCAAAGATCTCTCAAACTCTCACTTTTTTTTAACAAACTCTGAGGTAAAGAAATTTCAGGTTTCAACCTCTAAATTTGCCTCTAAGATCGTCTCTCTGCTAATGGATTCAAGGGGATGAATAATTAAACACGAGGGGGTAATGCTGAAAGTTTCCGTTTTTCTTTTGCTGGTGTAAGCTAGCTGTGAATGGCACATGTGAAGACTCGCAAAATGCAAATTATATTCATTTGATTCCTGCTAATGGAGCAAGTTCACCGCGTGGAATGAGGGTCCAGATTAAAAACAGGCTCTTTTTTTTATGACAATTCGCAAATTTGAAGAGAATAACTGTCGAGCAAGATTGGTTTATCGAAGAACTTTCAAGGACTAATTCGTAATAATCAATCATCTTTTATGCCTCCTGGTTTGTCAGCATATCACAAAATTTATTGTAGAGCTTCATTAAGAAATAAAACTATAATCTATTTTATTTTAATGTTTTTTTTAAATACGTTCATGGAGCATATTGCATGCTGAAAATCCGTCAGGAAAGTTGAAAATGTTTCCGAATACGCAAAAATGTTTTTCAGGAAAGGCAATCATTTTGCTACATGCTGGTTTTTGTAAACCCTACAGCGCATCTCGAACTTTCCACCTGATCTTCCTGAAACATAAAAGACCTTTGCCAGAATCTATGTGAAATGAAATTATGCGTCTCTTGGGAGCAATGCACTTAAGAGACATTTTCCCAACCGATCTCTGGGCAAAGCCATCGACGGAGTTTGACGTCACATCGGAGTTCTTTACATCATTATGCTGAGCCCGAGACAAATAATAAAACATTTGATTAAGTAAAGCTCTGATCATTTCCTCCTTTTTTCTTCATTGTACGGGTTACTTTTTACGCTGAGGAAGTTTATCACGAAGCGACGCTCATCCGCGACATTTTCACGGATGTTGCTTTTGTCCTTGAAAGATGGATTGCTTCCGGAAGATACAATGAGATTATTTTCCATCGTAGATCGAGAGGAATACAACTTTTGATTAAATCAGGCTTCACTCCATGTACTGTATATGTATATGAGCTTTGACATCGCGTATATTTGTCTCTGAGCATCGACACTCGATGAATTTTGACCTAAAAGCGCAAAATATGAAGATCATATACCTTGCTGTGACATCACATGCATGATTAAAATTACATCATGATTTTCATCATGCTTTCACATGAATATGCAGTCATAAATAAAACATCTCGTATGTCTCCTGATTTCTACATAGAGGGCCGATGTACCTTCGCAATATGAAAATTGTCGATTACACTTTTGTGGGACTGGTAAAAGTTTAAATTTTTTTCTGAAACGAATCAAGGTTTCCTTCATGAAACCTCAAGAGAATTTCGAATTACTGTAATTATTTTTTCGCATACAAATGGAAACGCCGGAGCAGATTAGTTTCGCGTACGTCGGGATCCATATAGTTTGCACAATACTATTACCTGAAAAATCGCTGTTTGAAAAGGGCGGTGCTTCCTGAACCATGCAAGGTTCTGTTAGATTCCACAAATAGCAAAATAAAACGTTCTTCAGGTTATGCCTTGAGGGACTCGTATATTCCTGGAAAATTGTAAATCATCTAGTCTCATATTTTGATTTTCGAATAACCTAATGCATGAAGGGATAAATGCCAGGTATACATAGGTACAATATTGCGAACATTTAAGTTTAGGAAAATTATGGAAGAGATCATGAAAAATTGCACATGTTTCCATCTGGCGAAAATTCGTTCATTCTTTTTTGTAAAATAAACTTACTACAGTCAAACCTCTTCATTTAAATTGAACGCCAAATGACCCGAACAGAAATTGACTCATGAAGTGTTTTATTTTGAGAAACCATCATTTTTGCTGGGAGAAATAAATAATGATTTTTGGGAGATATAATTGGAAGATAAATTTTAAATGGCGATTTTCTAGGCCTTAAATTGCTTTTTAAACTCTGAGGCAAGGGTTCATATGCCCCATACGTTTTTCACTTCCTTTCAAAACACATCAAGTTACTTTTTATTGCTTCTCTTGTCCCTGTTTCTAGAAAGTAATTGCCTAAAGGACTCAGAAAGCTCAAGTTACAGAGGCCTAGAAGGAAAGCCTTTTAGTTAGAAAGGTTTAAAATGCATTGTTTCTAAGGGAATCCAGACAGGGACTCAGAAAATGTTCACTTATAGAGGGAGCTTCAATCTATAAAGTTCTGAAAGCCAATCCAAAGGCTGGAAGGATTTCAGAATTTGTGGAACCTGTATCTCTCTTTGCTGCTTCAGCAAGCTCTAACCACCCTAATTAGTTTTATTCCTTTCCAGATGATATGAAAGCACTGTACTATATATGTGAATGTCCTTTTTTTCTGCAGGTCCCTGGGCTCACATGATAACAGGAGTGCATGAGCAAAGCTACATTGCTCACATAATGAGTTATGCGGGTTGCCTGGGGGAGTATTCAAAGGACCCCTGGCCTCACTGCGAGCCCAGCGATAATGTCCGGTCCTTCTATTCATCATCTTCTTCCGCTGCATTCCACGCCATTTCCTCCTGTGCAAATCTCGGAGTTGTCATTATCACTGTGCTTTTATTGCAGTCGATGCTCAGGCTCTGAAGTTTGCTGATACTACACGTGGCATGATGAAGGTGGAATCGGCAATTGAGTATTGATCGCTGTTGGGTTGCTACTGATGAGGAGAATATGCTTTGTTCAGTTGCGTGCCTTAAATATGTGTTGAATTATTGTGAAACCAGACGGAACCGGGTTTATGTTTTGAGAGTTACTTTGTAATAATTATTTGTACTATTTTTTTTTCCGGGACGGTTTTTCAGCCGGATATGACGAAATTCCTGCCGAGTAAACTGCTGGCTCAAAAATTGTAGACTTTGTTTTGTGATTGTTGAAAGTATTTTGAATTGGAACATCCGAGTGGTAATTTTATTTTCATTTTTTTGGTTCGGTACGCTGAGATTCGATTTGTTGACTGGAAAAGCGAAATGATTGAAAAAAGGAACTTGTATATTTTCTGTTATTTATTTTTTTACCGCTGAATAAGGCGGTGAGGCGAGAAAAAATGCAGGGTTATTTTTTACAAACATGAAAGTTGTTCATTAAAAATTTAAGGATACGATCGGAGAGACATTGTGGTCACTTGGTGAGACACGTTCCTCGTTTCCCGTGATTCAATTATTCATGCCGGAGATGAATCCATTGAACTGAGATATTTATTGCGATCATTCAACTTCCGGAACATCATTTAAAAGAGTATGACCACTTTTACCGGTGTGTTTCAATCCGTAGAAGAGTCTTAGGTGCTTTTATCGAAAAAGAACATGCTGATTAAGTTAATTCATTCAACACAAAAAAGAGGAATACTTCAAGATGATACATCAATCACAACTGATGAATATGTATGCAGTTACACTTTCAGAGATCAAAGGAAATCGCAATTTCTTTCGATATATTGCGTTTTAAAAACGCCTCTTCAAAAAAAAAATGAGACTCCGATATGAAACCGCGAGTTTAGATTTTCATATTTTCCGCCAAGTCTAATTTTGGATTTTCTTGATTGAAACGTAGTCCCAAATCAAATTTACATCCAAATTGATGAGCCACTTGAAAGCAGTCGATGTTGGATCATATGTCACTGCTTCGCAGCATCGCGGATGTTTGAAGTCGTAAAGTATATTCAGAATATTAATCTTCTCGTTCGAATAAACTGTGTCGTGTCGGATTCAAACTGTATTTTCGTAACCAAAAGTTTCTCCATAAAAACTTCAATGAAAAGTATGGCTTTCTGGGTACCTATTCGAGCTGTGTTAGTAAAAATTCGAAGCTTCCAAATCCTGAATATAAAAATAGAATGCGACGCAATTTTCCTAGGATTGACAGGCAATCAATTTAGAATTGAGTAATTCCTGGACTTAACCTATTTCAATTTCAAGCTTCCTTTTTAAATTGTACTTGTCTTTAAAATGTACTTTTTATTGCTGCAATATCGTGCGCGAAAGCAATTAAATAAACAATATTAATTTCAGATCTCAAGCCATCAATACTACATCAATTCAATAAACGTGATTTCTGGTTCCAATTTAGTTCCAGGATGAATAATAAAAATTTAATACTGCAGCTAAGAAACCATTGCCTAAAACATTACGCACAGCTTCAGGGGATAGAGCTATACTTGGATTTTTATATGGCCTTTGATTTATGGTCGTACAATGGGAGTCACGTGAAAATCCACATGATGCTTCCTTTAAAGAGGGATCCATTTCTACGCAGTAATAGAGGAGTGCATGAAAACATATATATAAAATAAGATCTTAAAGATTTTCGCAGGTATAAATCTGCGACACGACATGAGTAGGTGAAGGGGCTTACAGAGGCGAACATTCAAAGGTACTTTTGGCTTCTTAACCTGTCAACTTGAAAGGGGAAGGGTGGGCTTTTTTTCGATATTTTTTTTTTTGAATTTCCTTCAAGGAATTTATCACCTCTGAATACCGGACGGGCATGAGACTTCCCCGGCTTGTTATACCAAGCTTTGCTGACAATTGGGGACAATAGAAATCCAGTCGGTTTGAAAATTTCCCATCAAGCTCAAGAATGAAGATCTTCATTATTTCTGCGACAATTAGAATATTCTGCCGATTTGTGCACCTTTCTTTTCGGGATGAAATAGCACACGTGGTTGGTCATTTATTTAATTTTTTTTAATTTGTCCCATTTCAGTTTTTAAAAAATTATTGAATGCGACCGAAAGAAAAATCAAGAAAGTAAATTATTTCCTATATAACCATATTTTATTAATCGAATGGATGCTTGAAGAATAAGTATGTGGCAGAACATGTTTTTTTTTTCAGCTTGTCCGGCCCACTTTCTCTGGAGTTTTCTTTCCAGCAGCTTTTAAAACAAGAAAAGAAAAAAAGACCATCACATACAAACTTTTACCCTCGGTAATTTGGAAGAGTTCACTTCCCGGGAAATTAATTTTTGCCCCCGCAACATGTTTTTCCAAGAGGTTGAACTCGAGACTTCCAACTAAACAGTATAATCTCCAAGTAGTCCAATAGAGTCGTAACTCAGAACGGGATGCTTTTCTAGAAAACTTCAGGTATATATACAAATACGTAGCATGTAAATGAGGGTTTCTATAGGGCTGATGATATGTTGTTCCTCTTCTCTGGCGTAATGTTTGGCTTTCTTCTTTCTTGCATAATATGAGTTTGGATAGATATCTCGTGGACTTTTCAAGCGAAAAATGTTTTATTTCTTTAAACTTGTTTGGCTGTCCAGAAAAAAATTTTCTGCGAAATATTTATATTTCAAGACGCAGGAAAATGTTGGATCAAAAACCATGGATGTACTGTAGGAATGGGAACAAATTCTTGGGTTTGATTCTGAAATACAGTAATGATGCTTCCTAGATTCAAATTTGATATCATTGCCTCAAGTTTTCTCACACCCTTTCATCAGTAAAATATGAATTGCGTAAGGCTTTTTGTATTGCACTCGTCTAGTGAAATAAATTAATCATTAGAATTGAAACTAGAAAGGGTAGAAGGTGTATTGCGCATTACGAGTGCAAATATGGCATCGAACTTATTATTATCACTACTGTACCTTTCCTTCACAAATAAAAAGGAGAAGGTTAAAATTGTTTGCTGATCATAATGGGCTGAAAAGGATTGAGCGCTATAGAGAAAATAGTGTGCCTACTATTGCAAAGTTCTTTGATGGGTTTATCCAGGAATTTTGAAGCAAGATATTTCATCATGAAAAACCTGCTGCATGGAAGCCGTGTATGCAGGACATTGGAAAATGTTTTTTCGGCTGTTCATCAGCATTGAAATAGCTGAATAATGTATCGGCAATCGATAATAAATGACCTGAGGTCACACCTTTTCTCAAATCGAAGCCTCAGCACGTGAGTCGAGGCAACGTGACCCGAAATTAGGAAATGGCGCGGATATTCATTCACTCATTTGTTGGCCTCAAGATCGATCAGTGTTTTGTTGTTTTTTTATGGCAAATATACACAGAATAATTATGAAGGCACATTAAAGGACGACCGAATTTTCTGAAATCTTTAAAACCTTTTCGTCTTGAGCTAATAAACTTTAAAAACTTGATGATCATCCTCGTTATTCACTAACACGTAATTTTGCGTTCGTCACATTCATATGTTTGGGCATTTGGAGAGTGATCCAACTTTTCACAACTTTTCCAGACTAGATCCTTGTGTTTCAGCTCATTTTTTGTTTTGTTTTCTGCATTCTGCTCCAATAGAATTGCAGTATATTTTGCATTTTCTCAGGTACATATATGAAAACATTCCTATACTGTATTATTTTGAAGTATTTCCTCACAAATTTTCCTTGTATTCCAGAAGGTGAATCGATTTGTCGATACTTAATGAACTTGGAGGAACTGAGTCGATAAATTACAGGACGGACTCATCATCAGTTCGTTACTCCTTGATATATGATCAATTTAATTGTAATTTCCTTCGAAGCAACCGCAGTTTTCACACCGCCAAATAGCTTTAATTTTTCAAATCAGCTTCACTGATGCACACGGGATCCTTTTTTCCATTTACATTTCCGAGGTGATGAACTTTTGTTGTTGTTGTTGAATGCGATTCACAAGTTTAAAGGTGAAGTTTGTTTTTCGAGGAAACTGGCGCAGAGTATCTTTCTTCGCAAATTAATGAAGCGAAACGAATCTCGGCAAAATAATAAATTATCAAACGTCTCACAATAATGCGTCACAGTAGACGTGAAAATTATACTGAGAATGAACTCATTGCATTTCATTTTCAAATGCTTAGCAAAAGGGGCGTTAATTTTTTTTAGAAGCTCATCTCTGGCATAATTCACATGAATTATTCACTCTTGTTAATTTAGGCTAACAGGTAGGTTACTGCGTGAAGGAAAGCGAGTCTGGTGATTGATGTGCATCTCATTTGAGCAAAATTTGTTTTTGCATCAATTATAAACAAATTAGTGCCTTTTTTGTAAAATAGAATTCGAATATCGTATTTATTTGCGCGATTATGTGATGTGCATTATTCATTGTGGATCGTGATTTGAGAAAGAAAAGTAACTTGATGGGCTGCAAAAGGATTTCAAGTTTCGGAGGAAAACTTTCGGTCATGGTACTTTTCTGAACTTTCGCTTGGTCAGGCCTGGCAAAAGAAAAGTAAAAATCAATAGGTTTTCATTAGACCTGAAGAGTTTCAATTTTGTTTCCTATTCTTTCTCAACTTCCTGTACTCAATATTTATCATGAATATTGCAGAGAATCTTGACAGTACAGGATACTAGATTGTATGGTGGCATGTCGTGTGCAGAAATGTGCCTGCAATGAAGAGATCCACAATCCCATGTATATATTAACAAGAAGATGTGCATACGGAACCCGTCTGATTCCTTCCCAAATATGAAAACCCTCTCAACTAAATTATGAAAAACACTTACTGGAAGATTCTTGAAAATATCCTGGATAAATTCTTGATGGATAGCAGTACATCAGTATTGAAATAAATATGTTATACGGCATTTAAAATAAAATAAACCCCAACACACAATTATAAACAAGGGAATCAAATGATCGTCAAGAATAAGAATAATCGACTGGAAAATTTAATAGGCAATAATATTTCCTAAATCAGGGTTGTTTTCATGAAAAATTCCTTCATGTGGAGTATATTGCATCCAAAAAAGGGTTAACTTTTCAAATACAATGTTGGCCGCATTATGCCAGGCATTCCTTACCTTTGACACACACTGTAATTTACTTGAATATGTCAAGTATATGTTTGAGAATTAAGTTTTGGCGGACTCGTTATTAACTTTTGAAGATGCCTGCAAGAAAAAGATAAATTTTCAGATTTCTCCGAAGCATGCTGTCGAATGACGAAAGGAAACCAATACACTGCGGGTTTTATAAATTGGTAACTGTATTTTTATTCCCGGACACAACTACCCGATTCCATCTTCTACGCTCTCGTCTCCGAATTAATTTTCATTCCATTCACTATCGCTAAACAGCAATCTTCCTGCTCATTGTTCCTCATTTTTGCCTAATACAAGTACAACGCGTCGCGCTTTTTTTTTTTAGGTACCAGAAGCTCGAAGCCTGGAAAATTTGCAAAGAACGCGATTTCTGGAAACCATGGAAAATGTGAAGGAATGTATTGAAACCGGGCCAGCGATCGAGACGGTAATAAAATAAAACATTTTTGAATTAAAATCTGCGTATTCTTCTTTTTCTTTTGCTCCTCGCTATATATTGTTGAAAGTAGTTGAAAGTGAGGGACGAAAAGCTGGCTTCTTTTCAACGAGGAATGTTTCAGAATTTAATTGCAATTTCATTTCCCCTTTTCTGGTTTTCTCTGACACATCGATAACGAGATGCTTTCCTTCTGTTTCTCGTTACACATTTTACACTGCAATTCTTCTTTTCGGGAGAGAATCTGACTAGATGCAACTGCTTTCGCTGGTATTTTCGTAGGTTTTTATCGTTTTTCCGACGATTTTCTTTGGTCTTTTGCCTCTCTCTCCCTGATGGACTGGATTAGGGCTGAACAGCGTCGTCGTCGTAGTCGTCAACGACGTGCCTCGACGGCGAGCTAGGTGTCAGTGGATCATCTTGGAAAAGCGGGTTCCTCACTTCCATCTCTCCGGTCTGGAAGATTCAAATTAAGAATCCATTTTAGTTTCACAAATCATACTCCCGTCGAACATATCCAAGTGTAATTTCAAGGGACCATACAAAATTCGAGTTAGGGAGGTTTTGAGATAGGAAAAAAAGTATTTTTATTATGGGAAAGATAAGAAAAAATTTCGGAAAATGTTAAATGGCAATATTCATCGGTCTTCATTCGCTTTTTAAATGAATTGACAGGATTCTGAAATTGGAGGCAACAGTTCATTTTCCCAATTATTCTTTCCCTTCTTTTCAAAACACATCAAGTTATTTTTGCTTGCTTCTCTCTTTCCCAGGTCAAGAAAAGAATGGTCAAAAGTCTTCAGAAAACTCGACTAAAGGAGGTTTGAGACGAAAACCCTTGAGTTGGAGAAGTTTTTAATGCATTGTTTCTGAGGAAATTTAGACGGGGACTCGAAAAAAAAGTCGACACAAGGAGGATCGATTTATCGCGATTCAACTGTTATGATGATTAGCAGTGCGAATTTTTCGATGAGCGAAGGAAACCCTGAGCTTCGAAGTTCATGCACTGCATTCCGTTTGGAATGCAGTGCGAGAAATTAAAAAATCAATTTAAGTTTCTCACCGGTGCCAACCCAGGACATTCGTAGACGGTGTAATCGCCTTCCTCGTTCTCTTCCTCGTCAGATTCTTCGACATCAGATGTTGAGCCGTGTCGTCGAGAATTATTTCCGTGACTGCAAAACAATATTTGAGAATGAAAACACTTTCCGAACAAAAACACAATACTTGATAATTGCTCGTTAATCAAAAACAAATACTGTAATGTAATTCTCGCAAAGCTGGATGAGCTTGTCATTCTGTTTTTGCGAATGACCGGTTCTTTGGAATTTTTGCTCTTTTTTTCGAGGTAGAACTTTTGCGCGAGATTTCAACTCACTTCTCCATCGCAATCATCTGTTGCTTCTGATGCTGGTAATGGTACATCTGAGCAGATTGAGCCAGTTTCCGGTCTCCAGAGGTTGGCGAAATGTCTTGTGAACCACCGCCGTGTTTCCCGGGTCCGGTTACTCCGTAAGCAGGGTATTCCGTATCTTCGGCAGCTTTCGCATTTTTCTTGAGCCTGTAATGAATAATTGCACAAAAGTTATTCAAAAAGTAATCTATAACCTGAGATTAAGGATAACTTTTGGGAATCTCTTGAGGATTTCAACTCTTTTCATACGATACATATCGTCAGACTTATTGCAGAAATGATCCCGACGATAGCGAAAAGATAATGATTTATTTTATGTAACATGAATGCGGTCCTGCATCTGCCATTTTCCCCTGTTTTTCCTGCACTGAATCCAAAAACAATAAGGCGCAAAAGTTTAACTTGCCTCCTGCAAGATTTGTAAGATCGCGAAATGGGACAGAACCTCAGTTGGGGTTTTACGCACAAAATTGAAAAAAGTCATGCATCTCATAATGAATTGTTTTCAAATTCTTAAGGTACACAAGAGCGTCAAATCATGCCTACACGTGAAGATTAATGAGATCAATTGGCTTTCAAAAATCTCGTCAGTTATGGGAAAACGACTCTGTGTGCATATTCGTAGAATGGAACAGAAACATATGCGCAATTTTAATTTCATTTTATCCAACAAAACAACTCACAATTCTTCTTTAAGGCACTGAATTTGGGCATCGAGACGATTCTGCATAGTTGCCAAATAACTTCGGACGTGTAAATTCTTGAAGCCAGCGCTGAGCTCTTCCAAGCAATCAGTCGCAAATAATGCTTGTTCCATCATCACGCGTTTGTTTCACGTTTCCAAAATGTTTTTATTTTGAACTTGAGTGTTTTTTTTTTCTTTGTGGATTCTCTATGGGTGGATTTGAAAAACTGATATGCAACTTTCGCTTTTCGCAGTGAGCTTCCTTGTACGATAATGTTTTTTAAGCTGTGCGAAGAGCAGTGGCTATGACCGAACTGAGGGCTTTCAGGGGAACCCAGCATGGTTTTACCCGCTGCGAGGTTTCAGCATCAAGTCTTCCGATCAGGGACCCGGTTTTCGCGCATGCCCAATAGTGATGCCCTCCAGAAACATGATCCCCTTAGGGTTGCTTCAAAAGCAACGAAGGAGAGCTGCTCTCCATTGATGCATTTTCAAAGGGATAATCATGCTTGTCAGCGAGGAGTCAAGTAAGGGTCGTATAATTCATGATTGAATCACCAGATCACGTGCATCAGAAATATTTGCTAAAACGATCTGCACCGCGGAGTATAAATATGTTTTCCTGTCAATTTCGAACTTCTTGAGATTTTGAAGCGTTTTCTTTCTCATTCAGGACAAATGTTCGTTAACCGTACACGCTTTATTGAAAAGCCTGTTTTTTAATTATGCATGCTAAAGTATACAGTACAGTAGTTCGACGATGAGCCGGATTCATCAGATTTCCGCGAGTATTTAAGGTTACTGTATTTCTACTTATTTATTTCTACTTCGAACACAGTATTTGAATCAAACGTAGGAAGGTTTGCATGATGGAAACAGTTCAAAATATTATTTCAATAATTGTTCGCCTTCTGCAATTGTTTTTTTCTTCTTCAGCAAACTGATTTTGGTGCCATGTACTGTTTACTTAAAAAATAATCGCCCACTAGGGAATCACGTAATAAATTTCTGCACGGCATCAGCGAAACCTCAAAAACTAAAACGAAATGTCTGCAGTGATAACTGTAAATTTTCCAATACTGTATATTCAAGTGGTAATAAAAATCCATAAGCGTCAATTTTAAGTTGAAAGAAAATTTCGTGCTTTAAAATCGGTACTCCTGAAAATTCATAAAATTGTTGGCTAACTGCTGGTCAAAAAATCGTAGTAAAAACATTGAACACTTCTAAACCAATTTTGCATGGACTATGTCGAGGAACTACGCATTTTCCCCGTATTCGCAATCTGCGGAAAGCGGACACAATAACTCGTCACCGTTCCTGATCGCTTTAAAACTGTGCAGTCATGAACGAAATTAATTTCAAGCGCAGATTTTAAGGATTCTTTTTTTTTCAATATTTAGTTTTAATGATTGTCCTTCATCTAAGGAAATTATCAAGAATATTCTAAATAAATTATAACCTTTTGGAAATCATGCATCGGTAACAGAACTTTTGATACGGACTACAAACGCCATATCGCACTTCAGCAGATTACAAGTGGATATCCCATATACTGAATCACTCGTCCGATGAGACCCTTGAAAATTAATTCACCGCATGAGGATTGCTTTCCTGGTAAAAACGCCTACTGACACTTCGGAATTGTGGATATATTATCACACTTAATTCATGTGGATTTTATTATAGTACCTGGAACTCGGCCAAGATTCAGAAGAAAATGTATGGCTACTCTGTGTTATTCGTTGAATCTCTCTTCCATAATTGCAGGTATTTCGGATATTACTTGATATAGAAGAAAAGAGGCTTCATATTCAAGGCAAAGAAAATTTTGAAGAAGTAAAAGCGCCTGATGCGATTGGAAATACTGTAGAATCGAAGTCGCAGAAATTAATGCATCAGTTATTCGTTGGACGACCCACTTGCCGGGTGGCCCAACTCCCTTATTTCATGTTTAATTACATAGGTGTCGCTTACATCGCATCGTTGCATTGAAAGTTATTTCCGTCTCAACTTCACGCACGAAAATATTTCGAAGAAATCTGCACAATTGAATTATTCGTTAGGTAGCTCGGATAAATTCAGTCAGAATCTCTAAATGCCACAGAACGCGCCTGACATTCGAAAAATGTGGAGAGGGGGATTATACCACAGAGTAGTATGCATACAAGCATCGAAGTTTATTCACAACCCTTTCATCTGAAAACTCAGTTTCGTATCTCACGTTTGAGAAACTGATGTTTTCTTGACTTGCCAGGTATATCCTCACACTCGCAGCCACGTGATGCTTGTAGTACGTAGTTCTAAACTTCAAATACGGAGAATCTACCTCAATTTCCGGAAGAAAAATAAAAATGCACAGCGAAAACGTGCTTCGGATTTATTCACCTATGATCCTATTCACCTAGGATGATCTCAGGTGCTGAAAGCCCACTACCATAGAGCATTCTTGCGAAACGGAAATTCGCGTGAAGTTTGAGGATGTGAACCCTCCATTCAATCGTTTCGAAAGGATAATAACATTTTCGAGACGTTCAATATCATGTTCACGTGGAATCTGCCTTTCTTTCGTTTTTTTATCGAGGAAAAATTTTTAACCCGACAGAAAGCACGTGTTTCTCTTGTAAAACAAATTTTTTTAATAGACATATGATTACAATAGACATGCAATTCAGTCAGATGGCTATCGCGAATCGGAAAATAAATTTTGAATCTTTATACGAACCAATTTAAAAAAGCGTTGGTTTCGTCTCGTGTTTATGTGTCGAATTTCGATGCGCATGAATTCACTATAAAATCTTGGAAATTAAAAATTTCACACAATTTATGTTTACAGACCATCCGATGAACATAAACACAACAATTTAGAATTTTTTTCAATTCAAGAGGCTCGCAGACATCGAATAAAAAACAAACCTGCATTTCCTTCAGAAGAACCCCTGGAGCGACGAGCAAAATAGTAGGTGTAAAATTTCAAAAAGCTGCAGAAAGACTGCATTGGGATGTCGAACTTCGCTGGGAAAATAACACTTCCTCCATTTATGAACCGAGAATAGATCATTGATTATGGTTTTCAACACATGGGCTCTACAGAATGTCTGCACAAAAGCACGGAAATTTTGCTTCGCAAAAATAAATTACACATCGAAACCGCACATTTTCCCGAACATTCTGAAAGCTAACAATTTTCAAAGATTACTATTTAAAAAAAAAGCCTTGAAACAAGTTATACCGTCGTAATTTTTTGGACCAGAAAAAGCTAGGGTTTCATTAAAATATTCAAACACAATCTGATCCAAAATAAAACGCACCAAACTTAACTTCAAGTAGAAAATCTTTCCAAAAATCTATTACTATGTTTCAGCCAGCACCATTGCAAATTCTTGCAATGGATTCATGACCAAAAGAAAAACTGTGAACTTATGGGAATATTTGAATACATGCAGTTTCTTCAAAAATACAATGCCTTCAAAAATGAGTTCAAGACAAAAATCTTTCTTTAAAAAAAAACTTTCCTCTCTTTTGTACAAGTTATAACTTTCATGTCAACATTTATTTAAGAATCCATTTGATTATTTTAACAGGAAAGAACTTCACAATTCGGAAACACAGTGTACTGCAGTCTTGCGGAAAGTTTGGATTGCCTCACATAAAACTTTCGAGCTCAAAGCAGCTCACATCAAAAAAGGGTCACGTTTCCAGACTTGCGTTTCAAATGAATAAGGTCGTTCCATACAGATTCACGTATTGCGTCTAATGATGGACGAAATGCTCAATACTGCAATTCTAGAAGAAATTATGCCAACAAGAAATCTTGCTGAAATGCGCTGCAGTTTACACGGATTCTCTTCATTTTACGCCGATGCAATTTTTCAGGTTAAAAAAATACAATACGGTTACTATGAAGGTGAGAAAAACGGTGCTCACCTCATCCAGAAAACACCTGCTGCTACTACTCCAAACGCCACTGCAGCGCTGCAACCCGCGATCGCACCTGAAAAATTGATACGCAAAAATATTATACTGTATAACTGCAATTTCATCAAGCAGCATCACCTATAAGCGTCACATGACATGACATACACACCGCGTTGCCCAATAAATGAAACAGCTCTGATTCTTCTTTCTGGATGATGGGTAGAGAGTTGTATGATGAGGGTACAAATACCATCTCTCGTATTCAAAAATTTTCGGGATATACAGTGAGAACGTAATGCTTTAGGGAATAAAAGCTTAAAAACAGATAACTAGCTTCAACTCGATGCCTAGTCTATATTTCTCAACAATCTTGTTTGCTAAAAGTTTTCTACAGGATGAATCGATAAACCTCCGGATTTTGGGCATGTCTACTGAACTATCATCGGTATTACGTACCCACGAAATAGAAGTGTGACATGGGATCTCCGTCGTTTTCGTTCAAGGGCTCTTCAACTTCAGGTTTTTGGACAAGTTTCATCACCTTTGGAGCTTCCCCCATATTTATTGCTGCGTGATGATCTTCCGAATGATGATCTTCAACCATTGCCGCGTCTTCTTCGGATTTTATGAAAATAAATAAATAAAAACGAATTCATAGTCGAAGTTCAAGGCTCCAAAAAATTGACACGACACAATATCAGCAACTGCATTAATTTCATGGTGATGACGAAGATTCGATGATCATGAATGAATGACTATTGTTTCATTGCCACATTTGTAATTAAATTTAAATTGTTTTACCGTGCTGCTTCTTGTTTACATACAATAATTTGAATCACTTGTAATTTTTAATAACGAGGTATGCAAACTTCAACGATGCATATAGGTAAAACATAATTGAGCCTTCGTGCGTGGACTTTATGCATTTACAATTACAATATTCCACTCGATGGTTCTAATAATTTTTTCCGATTCAGTCATATATATTGCCCATATGTCAGCAATATTTCATGCCAAAAGTGAAATGGTGTAAGAAATCCTACTCGTTTCTGGTTCTGAGTCGTGATTTTTCTTGCCCGACTCATGCTGCAGCCAATGAGTCTTATCATCGCCAACATCCAACTGAATCTTGGTAGATTCAACGGCAATGGGTGACTGCATTACAGCGCTTTGGTCCACGACAGCGACATCTGCTTTTGATGGAATTTTGTCAACAATTTGAGTTGCCTGCACCTCCGCAGGGTGTCGCACTTCCTCCGCGATGACACCGAGCTTAGGCATGTCGATATAGGTAACAATTTCCTTTTGCCCGTTTTTCAAGCTGTAGATCTTCGCTCCCAATCCGGTTGCAACATTCTCAAACGTACTAGGATGCAATCGTTTCGGAAGAAGCGGGTTAACCGAACCTATTTGCTTCTCGGCTTGGTATTCGAACTGAGGAAGCGGGTTAATCGACCCAATTTGCTTTTCGGCTTGGTATTCCAGCGGAACTGGAAGTTCCCTCAGATGCTTCACTAATCGCGGTCGTAATTCTTGGACGATATTCTGCGTTTCCGGCTCATGTTGTTCCTGCTGCTGAATAAGCGGCTGATCCGGCAAATTATTCAGCAAATTTATAGTATTTTCCAGGACCGATTGCTCATGATGTGCAGGATCAGCAGCGTTGCTCCGCCAGAATTCCGTTTCATCGGGTTTGAAGGCGAATTTAGCTTTGTTCCCTGCTTCAGGATCCAGAGAAATCACGGGTCGTGAGGTGGAAAAGTCGGATTGAACTGGAATTCGGCTTCCGGGCGCGTTGAGTTGATGACGCAAAGCATTTTCTCGATGGTTTCCTTCCGCGTAGATTTGCTGGAAAAGCGCTTGTGAGGGTGACCAACTCGCGAAATTCCGTGGCAGCTGTTGTTGTTGTAGTTGATTTTCGCAACAAGGTTGCTGTGATTGTTGTTCTTTGTCTGCCATAAGTAACTCATTTTGTTGCACGGCGTGATGCTTTTGCAGCTCTCCGGATCTCAACAGCTTTTCAAGGCGTTCCACAAACTCGTCTTCTGGGGCTGGAGGTAGATCTGGGAAGGAATAGAAAACGAAACATTAAATATACACACGATATCCACTGAAAATACATCTATTCGCGTAATTCTAGACCAAGGGGCGGGACTGATCTTTTTGCGCTCCATATTTAAAGGTGAAATCACCCCCCCCCCCCCCCCCCCCAATTCTTTCACAAACTGCTCCAAGTTCTCGGTTGTGAATTCGCTGTTTTCTCCATATAAATCCACGGAAGTGAACGCGTAGGAGAGGAAATATTGTACTTGCGTAATAAAATCAAAAGTTTAAAACGTCGTTTTTATAAAATACAAAAACGCCCAAAAACTCGCCGTTTCAAGTAAAATGAATACATCGACAGGAAAAAGGAAGAGATGATAATCACGAACAGTTCCGACGTCATATTCTGACATTTGCGACCAACCGACCGACCTATTCAGATATTCACTGCTGGCATTTACAAGAAATGGGAGGGGAGGGGGTTTGGATGTGGGAACATTGCTTAAACCTTCTGAAAGCCGAAAAGCGGAAAATAAAGCTCGTTGCTCAATTCAATTTAATTCAAGAAGAAGAGAAAAACGTTTGAATTCTACAGGAAACTTCAAATAAGTTCAAGCAGCAGTTTTCACTAAATGTCGATTCATTTGGGGATGTCTTGGGGTTATATAATCAAAGCGTCAGTAATTGACGAAGGAAAAAATTGTCATACAGTACAGTATATTATTAAAAAGGAAAAAGTAAGAATCTTGCCCAATGCAAACAAGGGAACACCTGCTGAGTGTTTATGTTCCGTATAGACATGCAGGTGAAATCGATATCCTTTCGCTTCCCTGGAAGGCAAAATGACCACGAAAATTAGAACTAATTGGACCGCCAGTAGGATGCATACTTTCCCGCGATTCAGGAAAAATAGCAATAAGTCAACTTATCATACAGGAAGCCAACAAGTATGCATGCATCAAATGAAATATAAGATTCATTCCATTCCGCAACAAACGACGTACATAAGAACACTTGTCAGTTATCAAAAGACATACTTCAAGATACCGAATACATTAATAAGTGGTTGGATAAAATATTTTGAAGTATGGTAACACATCGACCAAAATACATTATTATTTCGAACGAGTGATGCACTGATTAAGGCATACCTTTCATAGTTTCATGGGATGCGTTTTTCAATAGAAGTACAATGCTGTACACTATACTGACAACAAATTAATTTATTGCAACGAAAATGAATGCGTCCAAACAAGAAACCATGAAAATATTCGTTATTGACCATCTTGCGTTACTGGGTCTCAATTTAGCAGCTGTTTCGTCACATTCGTCAATGATTCCAGCAACGAAGTCCCGCAGCACAAAACACATAACATTTCAAATCAGCGCAAATTACCGAAGAAACCGAGATTTCCTTCAAAGAAAAAGTCGCACAGCAGCCTAAGAAGAAATAATTGACCTACGGTCGAAAAAAAATTCTTGTTCAGTTAGTTGACTTACTCCCAACAGAGAAAAGGCCTTCGTTCAGCACTACCCTGTATACCAAACGAAAATTATAAAATCATTCTTCGCTAATTTTTTCTATTTAATTTCGATGAAATACTGTTCAAATTATTCCTATTTTGTGAGAGCAGCCTGTGGGATTGAAACATTTGGAAGCATTTCTGTCATTTACTGTACTTCCAGGAAAAGCTCGTGCACGGGGCACAACTTAACGACTATTGCACAACATCTCAAAGGTAAAGGGTTCATTCTTGGAAACCCTTCTGCACAAGTTAATCAGTTCTCCGAAGAACCGGAGAATAGGGGTTAACGCAATTGGAAGATTTAGGACACTGCTGTTATCGGGATATAGGCCAGACACGAAGTCGACCCGGGAACCCATATCTTATTTCATCGTCCAGCAAGGTCGCAAGAAGTTCGACAGAAAAAAAGAACCTAGGCTCGAATCATAGTTATTACCGTCAGTTAACTCTTTAACGACTTTCTTGGCTTAATATTGTATAAAAGAAAAGAGATCCTCGAACATCGGCTCACTTTTTCTTCGACGAAGTACATGTATCCATTCTGAAGCAAGTGAAGCAGTCTCAAAACGGGATTTGCAAAATAGAAACAAGGACAAAAACGACCTTGCTGCGGAGAAAAAAAATCGCAGTTCCCTGTGGAAGAGGAAGTCCTTGCCAAATCCAGTACTTTTCAAGGACTTGCTCAATGTCATAAATAACCAAGTTCTTCGGCATTATCGCGTAATCATGTCTGAAAGTACTTTTTTCGTTACATAATGTATGAAGTTCCGAGGTGTATCAAAAATCAGGCACAAGTTATTCTCACAGATGTTTTCTGGGATTCCATTGAAGCATACAATTTAAGCAGCATACATTCTTGATGATATAAAATGGGCTCATACGATGTTTGCTGAAACGTGCATACTTTAGATAGACCACCTCAGTCCGAATCAGGACATGTATTACCTTTTGCGGTACATCCTGAATTATTTCAAGGTCACCTTGAAATAATGCTCAGTTTTCAATCCCGTTGCGAATGAATGTTCAAGATATTGACGAGGGACAATGAGCAACAGCAGCATTTTCACGACTTCTATTTCAGAAGAAAGTCTACGTCTGAATCCACGGGAATGATATATTTACACATAAAACAATGCGGATTCACTAAAGAGTATGCAAATTTAGAATTGTAAGGAAAATCCGAATTCGGTGAAAATTTAGTGGAAAGCCCTAAACATTTGTGCGTCACTTCATACGAGTTGCTTTTTTTTTTAGCTTACACTGGTAATTCCTTCTTTTGCTGAATTTGAAATTTTCAAATGCCATGTGGATCACCCGAAAACAAGGAATAAATTAAAATAAAAATTCTAAAATCCAGGGATGAAGAATAGTATTGCAAGTCGGAATATATTTCGGGCTAGGGTGTTTCGAACGACGAGATAGGGCTTAATTGTTCTTCGTGAGACAGAGCATTAATGCACAACAAAGAAATATTTTCCTGCAATCGCTTTTTTTTTGCAGATGATACTTTGAAGAAAGAATGGTAGAATCGTATGTACAGAAGGTTTCGCGAAAATCGCTGCAAACCGTACACTAACCATCCCTGAGACCTTGTTGACGAGGATGTTGTGGCACAGACAAGTTCGGCGACGCTGGCGCTGGTTGCTGATCACTCAGAGTTGGAAGCCCGTTGATTCCGGCTCCGACGAGGATGACACAAATTAGAACAAAACTTCTCATTGCCAACATTTTTTGCGATGTTGATCGTGTGTCTTGCTTGAGTGAAGGCGGTGTTGGAAAGACAAAGAGCAGCTCGGGGTTAGCGAAAAGCGCGGCTCAACCTCGCCTCCTTTTTCCGCCGTCCCGAGCAATGCTCTTACACATTGCCTCGGGTATTTGTCTGAAAACGATAAGAGAGCATAAAAGNCAATGCAAACAAGGGAACACCTGCTGAGTGTTTATGTTCCGTATAGACATGCAGGTGAAATCGATATCCTTTCGCTTCCCTGGAAGGCAAAATGACCACGAAAATTAGCACTAATTGGACCGCCAGTAGGATGCATACTTTCCCGCGATTCAGGAAAAATAGCAATAAGTCAACTTATCATACAGGAAGCCAACAAGTATGCATGCATCAAATGAAATATAAGATTCATTCCATTCCGCGACGAACGACGTACATAAGAACACTTGTCAGTTATCAAAAGACATACTTCAAGATACCGAATACATTAATAAGTGGTTGGATAAAATATTCTGAAGTATGGTAACACATCGACCAAAATACATTATTATTTCGAACGAGTGATGCACTGATTAAGGCATACCTTTCATAATTTCATGGGATGCGTTTTTCAATAGAAGTACAATGCTGTACACTATACGGACAACAAATTAATTTATTGCAACGAAAATGAATGCGTCCAAACAAGAAACTATGAAAATATTCGTTATTGACCATCTTGCGTTACTGGGTCTCAATTTAGCAGCTGTTTCGTCACATTCGTCAATGATTCCAGCAACAAAGTCCCGCAGCACAAAACACATAACATTTCAAATCAGCGCAAATTACCGAAAAAAACTGAAATTTCTTTCGAAGAAAAAGTCACACAGCAGCCTAAGAAGAAATAATTGACCTACGGTCAAAAAAAAATTATCGTTCAGTTAGTTTACTTACTCCCAACAGAGAAAAGGCCTTCGTTCAGCACTACCCTGTATACCAAACGAAAATTATAAAATCATTCTTCGCTAATTTTTTCTATTTAATTTCGATCAAATACTGTTCAAATTATTCCTATTTTGTGAGAGCAGCCTGTGGGATTGAAACATTTGGAAGCATTTCTGTCATTTACTGTACTTCCAGGAAAAGCTCGTGCACGGGGCACAACTTAACGACTATTCCACAACATCTCAAAGGTAAAGGGTTCATTCTTGGAAACCCTTCTGCACAAGTTAATCAGTTCTCCGAAGAACCGGAGAATAGGGGTTAACGCAATTGGAAGATTTAGGACACTGCTGATATCGGGAT